CACCACTGAGTAAAGAATTTCTTCCTAACATATAACCTTTATTTCTCCTCTTTTAGTTTAAAATCAGTTTGCCTTGTTCTATCACTAGGTTGGATGGACCAAACCCACTGGTCTCAGTGGAATCAGAAGGGAGAGCTGGAGGCAGCATGGTTAGAAGCAGGAATGTTGCTAGAAATGCAGTAGAGCAGAAGCAATCCAGCTTAAGGAAGGCAGGGTGCTAATGCCAGAGTAAGGACAAACGAGCACCTAAACCAGAAGGTTAACCAAGTAGTGAAGCCCATGCTGATGGTATCATGAGGCTATTCAGAGAAGCACAATCCTTGGGAAGCAAACTGCTGCTGCAGAAGTTGGAATTTAAAGATCTGTGGTTTGCAGGGACGTGGTTTGCATCATAGCAGGCGGGGGGGAGAGGGAGAAGTGGGGGGTGGAACCAGATAATCATTGTGGTCCTTTTCAACCCAGGCATGATTCTATGATTCTGTGATTAGCAGCCCTGCTGGAGGGGGATATATGGTTTACCCCCACTTCAGGCATTCTAGACCCTAAATTCCATTACTTACATCTGTACATATACCACAAAATTCCTGGTGATGGATTTTCCTAGAGCTTCTATCTCCCTACATTTTTAAACACCCTATGGAGTATGACACACCCTCAGGAGGAAGCTCAGTCTTTGCTGATGAGAAGATCTTGCATTCAGGTGATGAAAAGACCTTGGGACCTTGAAAAGATTCAATTAAATATCGCTGTTGATTTCTTACTGCTGTTGGCTCCCTGGTCCTGCTGGCAGCTCAGGCAGCTATAATGTATGCATTCCCTTCATCATCTGAAGTAGCCAAGCCTGAGATAACAAGAGTGAGAAGCCAAGTATCTGCCACTATACAAAGACAAGGCTGTTAGGTATTAGCTGTAAATCAAAGCCGAGACTTGGCTGTTGGGACAGCCTTCATCCCTGGTGAGGCTGTGGAATGGCTTTGGAGCCTGCTGAGATATCTAAAAAAGGCCCTTGTGCTTTGATTGGGAAGGAAGATTGCATCCGAGTGAAAGTAAAGAGGATGGCTGATCCTTCATCAAAGCTTTTCCCCAAATGTGCGTTGGGCTGTATTTGATTATAAGAGGCTGCTTCAGAGGCCAAAGGCTAAAGCACAGAACCACAGAATCATAGAATCATTACAGCTGGAAAAGACCACTAAGATCACTAAGTCCAACCCCAATTCTTCCGAACCATGCCCACTAACCGTGTCCCTCAATGATGCATCTGCCCTTTTCTTCAACATCTCCAGTTTTTCCTAATATCCAACCTCAACCTCCCCTGGTGCAACTCTCATCCCATCTCTAGTTACCAGGGAAAGGATGCCGACCCCCATCAACAGATGTTTAAGTGACAACAGCAGCTCAGTAGGAGCACTGTTTGCACTGCTTCCCTAATAGCTGGCACTTCGGCCCTTTTTGCAGTGCCAAATTGCTCATTTCTGCTGGGAAATCAAGTGGAATTGGGGAAGGACATGTTGTAATTAGAGTTGTGACCCTTCTGCTGAGTTTGGGGGGCTCAGTGAATCTCTAGAGGGCTGAGCCAGCACCAGCCTTGTTAAAACCATCCTATCCAGAAAAGCTTGGATCTGTTCAGTATCTATTTGATAAGCTTAATCCTGGAGAATGCAGAAGCCTGCCAGAATGCTTCTGTAAATCAGGCCCATTCTTTGCACATCCTTCCTATCTCACTGGTGAACATGACGCTTGGCCATGGTGTCACTGCTGCAGATGTAACTTCTGGTGTTAGGAATGGACAGCAACCTCTCCACAGCTGAATCCCTACTGTGCATCAGCTTGAGATGGAGAGGCAGCTGGTGGGACTTGGATGCCCTGGGAGCTGCCAATCACTCTGTCATAAAGATATTTTGGATACGTAGAGCACCTAATAAACCTCTGTTTAGCAGCTTCCCTGGGGCAGAGGGGCGGTGAGTAATATTCCCTCATTAGCAGGTGGAATGTGATATGGGATGATGGTTTCACTCCAGCTGGTGATTGGAACTAGATGATCTTAAGGGTCTCTTTCAACCCAAACCATTCTGTGTTCTCAAAAGCTTGTTCCTTACAACTGCCTGAAAGCTCCCAAGGGAGGTGATGGAGTCACCATACCTGGAGGTGTTCGCGAAAAGGGCAGATGTGGCACTGAGCGATATGGTTAGCAGGCATGGTGAGGATAGGCTGATAGTTGGACTGGATGATCTTAGAGGTCTTTTCCCGCCTTAATGATTCTATGATTCAATCAAAAAATCCTCCTCCTTTTCTGAGTTACCTACAGACTACACTGTGAATTTCAGAGTTAGACTTTTACTGCTCGAGATGCAAGGATTGCTTCCTGTCTGCTCAGATCTTCCCTTTGACCCTCTCTGATACTCCAGCTGCTTCAACAGCCATGTTGCAGGCAGAATGAATTCATGTTCTCATCTCCACTTTCACTCTGGAAAGTCATTAACGTGAAATTGCCAAGTGGAGAAGCTCCAGAGAGTTTAACGTGGCTACTTTATATTGCCATTAGGAGTGTCTGGAATTGAAAATAAACCTGGGTTTGCAACTCTTGACTGTTTCATCATAAATCCAAGCTTACTTATGTGGTTCTCTTTGCTGAAGAAGATGACTGTATTTCTGCCTTTACAAAGATGTTGCGCATCGAGCTGAGAGCCACAGCTGCACAGAAGCTGGCTGATGTTTATTTGCAGGCTTTCACTTGCTGGCTTTTTTTTTTTCTTTTCTTTTCTTTTTTGCTTGTTTGTTTTTTTCATGCAGATGATCCTCAGAGGAAGCAACCCCAACATGTTACATGATGTCGTGGTTTTGCGATGTTTCTGTTGTCGGTATTCCACATCATAACATCATGTAAAGCATTGGGAGTTAAAGAGTTAATGTTCTGGTTCTGTGGACCGTCGTTTCTGGGTGCTTTGTTCTCGGAGGGGCAGGGGAGGGGCTTCATTGCCCGGAGGACTTTGTGCCCAGATGAAGCAAGGTGGAGGCAGCTCACCAGCCCCTGGCGTTGTTCCGTGCCGAGGAGCACACCAGGCTTTAGAGTAAGGACTTCAGTTTGGACACCCTCTCATTTTGTTTCATTCGTTGGCCTCAATTCCACGTGTATCGTGTTGTATTGTGTTATCTTGCATTCTGAGATCATATTTAGTAGTAAGTTAACGTCTTCGTCCTCAGGTCGTTGCTGTTGGCTCGGTTTTTAGACCCATTTCCCATCTCCCTGCCCATCCCCCTTCTCCCCTTTCCCCGGGCGCGCCCCACAAGTCTCCTGCCTCGTTAGTCACTGGCCTGTAAACCGTTCACACTGTTGTTTTTTTTTTACTCTTTCTTTTTTCACACAGAGGGTGGTGAGGCACTGGAACAGGCTGCCCAAGGAGGTTGTGGATGCTCCATCCCTGCAGGCATTCAAAGCCAGGCTGGATGTGGCTCTGGGCAGCCTGGTCTGTGACCCTGCACACAGCAGGGGTTTGAAACTGGATGATCATTGTGGTCCTTTTCAACCCAGGCCATTCCATGATTCTATGAAGGTCTCAGATAAAAAGAAAAAAAAATCATGGTCGTTCTTTAGTGATTGAAGAAAATTAGATAAATTTATTGTCCACTGAATTATTGCCTTCCTAAGCCTTGGTCCATAAAAATGTTTTAAACTTAGCTTCAGATGTGTGAGAGTGGTCTCACTGATGTCAGCAAAGTCTAATTTTTTGGGCAGTTTGTGCTGTGATGTTTGGAGTTTCATCTTTATTTTGCTGTGTCGGATCTTCACACTGGGAACTTGCATTAACCTTACTTTCCAAATTGTGCAGTGAGATAGGATAGAAGAGTTGTTCTTGTGATTTTGCTGTTGTCCTTCTGCAGCACTCTGAAGTTGAAGGAAGCACCTTTGCAGATAACTAGATGTTATGAGCTTTCATATCCAAGGATCATATTCATGGAGACACTCAGGATCAAGTTGGATGTGGCTCTGAGCACTGATCGAGCTGTAGGTATCCCTCATCATTGCAGGAGAGTTGGATTAGATGTTCTGTAAGTGTCCCTTTCAACTCAAATCTTCTTTGATCCCACTGGAGCATCCGTCTGATAGCCTGTTGAGTTCTAATGCAGTAGATGTGAGGGCTTAGGCAGCAGCAAGCAACAGTCAGGCATTTTCTCTGGTCTTTGTGAGTCTGTGGTTTCCTCAGCAAGCACAATAAAGCACCAGCAAAGCTGTGAAACCTTCGCCTTCTCCAAGGACTTCAATGAGTGCCCCTTGTGAGCTGGGTGGAGTTGAATAATCTCCATTTCACAGGAAGGAAATAAGGACCCATTGGAAGAAAGGTGCCCTGGCCAAACGATGTGACAGAAAGACCCATAACTGCATGAGTGAACTAGCTCCAGGAATAGAAAGTGTGTGCAGGCACTACTATAATGTATAATCCTTAGCCTGATCCCTGTTGCTGACCAGGGTGTACATTAGTGCTGCTTCCAAGATGTATCATGGACGGTGCTGCAGCTTTTGGAGTCAGATAATTGGATGGGAGATACAATTTAGGTTTCATAGATGTGAGTCACAGTAGTGAGTGTAAGGGCCAGAGAACAGGCCATGGTCTGTTTGCTAGTGTGGACTTATCTCAGTGTTTTGTATCGTGGATCCCTTAGTAATGACACGCATGCTTTATTTTTGGCAGAATTAGATACATTTAAGACACCTTCTGCAGACTTTCTCTTTGATTGCTAGGTCTTGACTGGTAAAGCACTAGGAAAAAGGCTTAAAATAATATATCCTGCTGGGCTTCAAGAGAAGCAAATTTCCAGTGCTCCTTCTGTCTATAACTCATCAAGAGACTTGGGACAATTTTTTTCCACCTTTGTATTCCTCCAGAGCTGCCTTTGTCATTGATTTGTCAGCCTGCATAATGGTGTCCCTGATGAATGAATGCTTCCAAGATGGCTTAAGAATTGTTGGCTTCAGTTTTTCATGCTTTCTTATTGTTTCATAGCTGTTAACAATTGATGACAACTTCTGTGGCCTGGATATGAATGCCCCCTTGGGAGTATCATCTATGGTGCGAGGGCTCCCCATTTACACTGAAGATGGAGACAGAATGACATCTGTGATCGCTTATGTCTACAAGAACCACTCCCTAGCTTTTGTGGGAACCAAGAGTGGAAAGCTCAAGAAGGTAAGACCAAATGTTGTCCTCTAACTCAGATTTTCACATATTTATGGAGATTGGCAGTGTTGAACGGAATATGAGTACAGACCTTATTGTGAGGTGCATCACCTGCTTTGAGGGTAGCACATGTTTCAGTTGGCAAAAAATTGTGTTCCACCCACAAGGGCTGAGTGCTTGTTCTGAAGGAAAAGTGTTTTCATCAATAGACAGCTGTGTGTGAATGATAATGAGCGTTATGCTTATGGAGCAACCATGGTTAACGCCACATAAATAAATACACTCTTTATTGAATTTGAGCTTCTGTTCCTCACTCTGCGTTCTCAAAAAATATGAAAGCCTGTTGCACGGCTGTAGCTCTGTGGTGTAACAGCTGCTGTAGTTCATCATGTACGGCAGTAATACAGAGCCTGAGAGTTGGAAGCTTTGTTGTGCTTTTAGTAGGTGCTCTTCTTAAGTCAGCAAGAGGTATTAGAAGTGGCCTTGTGCTAATGATGGGCATCACATCCATCTCAACTCCTCCGTGCCAGTTTGGCAACGTTTAAATGCTTGGGCTGGGGATGTTGCAAAATATGATTTGTGAGGAGATGGGTGAGAAGCTGTTACAGGAGGTTGGAAGAACCCCAAGGCTTGGATTGGATGTTGAATCCTCTTTGAATTCCTTTTTGCAAATAACATCAAGCTGAGGAGATGAATGTGCTATTAAAAAGTCTTGTATATATGATGGGCAGAGCAGAGAGGAGAAAGGGATTCATTTGTTCATGGATGCGTAAGGAGGGTCTGAGATCTCTGGTTTTGTTCCTCTTGCTACTGCTTCATTTAAGAACATCAAGGTTTTAAACTCAGGTGGCATTACACCCATGTGGTAGGAGGCATATGAAATAGGATCCTGCCCACTGACAGATGTCTCCAGACCACTTCAACAGAGGAAAAGCTGCTGGTGCTTTTGTACAGAGTGTGGTTGTTTTAATGGTCTGCTCTAGCACGTGGAAAAGGAGCCAAATTGTTTTTTAAGCAGTTGTAGTAAAAATAATCTCCTCCCCTGACTAATTAGGTTTTGCTTCCTTGTCATCTGTGATATCATAATAAAATGTTTAGTTCTCCAGCCGTTCTCACTGGGGGAAGAAAATGTGTAACTGAGATCTGAACGGTAAATATCCAAAAGACCTAAACAGTTAAAAATGCCTATTGCTTCTCTGCTTTCGTGAGCTTTTGGTTTTAATTTTGGCTTTGGGAGAAGCAAAATCAGACATAGCTCTGTCTTTGCCTTTGCAGGTCACAATGCAGAATCCAAGCTTTCATCCCTTTTGAAAAGGGGGAAATAGGAGTGAGAAAGCTTTTTTTTTTTTTTTTTTTTAACTGAGTGTGGTAGAGAGCAGAGACATCCTTATAGGGTAAAGAATGAGAAGAGGGGTGCTGAACCAACTGATGTAACTTGAGAAAGCTGTGTTTTATTCTCTTTTTCCAAACGTGATGAATGTTCTGCCTGCGGTAGTTAGAGCACTGGGTCTGTGTGTCAGAGCAGGGCTGGAGCTGTGAATAAGGCCTTCGTGGGATGAATAATTATCTATCACAAAAGCAACACGCAGAGCTGATCATCAGTGCAAAATGAGGCTTCCCCAAACTCATGTGGTTGTTTTGGACGAACTGATCCTGGAAATACGCATTTCCTGAAGGTTTGGCCCCATCCTTGCTATGACTTCTGCAATCATTTACTTTCCTCCAGGGCTCCCGAGGGTATCTGAGCTCAGGACATCAGCCTGCTTTCCCCCTGCATGGGCCACACAAGCCCAGTTTGGCACTGAGGATTTTCACCTGGTCCCTGCCAAAGCTTCATGGCCTTTCAAGACTTGGTTTTCCATCTTGGCTCATTAGACAGGTGCTTTGGAATTGGAAGCAAAGGGAAATACCACACTGGTAATTGCAGCTCCTGCGAAATCCATTGTGTTGGGATGAAGTTTGATTTCTGTTTAAAAAAAATTGCACATGGGTAAATTGGAATCAGCTATGTAAGATTAGAGGAAACTCTGTACCAGTAGACAAAGCCCAAGGACTCACTTTTTCGTGATGGGCCCCTACCACACGTGGCATGTACTGCTGTTTTTGTGGTGCAGTGCAGCTGCTTGATCAAGCCACGGTGAAGCATTTCTGGATAGCACGGAAAGATGAGTTGTTATATTATCTTCAAAGCAGCAGGATCTGCTCAGTTGTTGCTGAAAGATTCACTAGAAATAATTAGAAGATGGTTTTGGAGAAACTTCCCTTATTTTTTTGCAGTTTCAGTCATCTTCCCTGTGTTTTTATATACAAAAATACAGACTGTGTATCAGATTCTGAAGAATGAACTCTGGAGACTCTGAAAAGTACCCATAGACATAAAGCAATATCTGTTGATATACAAATGTCACATGTCAAAGGAATGTATCCAGTGGCACACAAAACTTGAAGTAAAATATCGTGCTTTACAGGAACGTATCATTAAAATGAAAACTAGCAGCACATCAGGAATCTGCCCACGTAACCAAGACAACAAAGAGAGAAAGAAAAAGAAAAAGCAACATAGAGATAGGGTAAGAAAAGAGTGAGTGAGAGAGAATGACAAGGCTGGCCCTAGCTGTTCCACTGCCCCAGGCAAAATAGTTCTTGCAGCCCTTGCTCATGCACATAGCTACGTGTGCAGACCAACAGGAAGGCTCTGAATAATACACTGTAGAAATATGCCCTCCAATTCTGCCAGCTTGTCCACAGCACAGCGTGGCCTTGCAGAACAATGATATAAATAGGATAAAAATGCTAGGCTCTGAAAAGGAAAAATCTCCCCCTGTCTGTATCTTGTGGCAGAAACCACAGTCCATGGATTAAAGGTTTGATGGGTGTTGGTGTCAATTTGGGAATAGAGAAGGTAGCTCAGAGATGTGAGACAGCCATGCTCAGCTTTTTAATCTAACAGGAGCTTCTATTCTTCTCCTATATATGCTTTTCCCTTCTACACGTGGAAGGAAATACGTTGTTTCTTAAAGAAGCTGGGGGGAAATTAATGCTCTGCAGGTTGCAAGAGATTCGTGTGTAAAGCATGAGGATTCTATCACACAGCTAAAGCAGGTAAATCAGATGAAACAGAAAACTCCTGACCACTTGTGGGCAATGAAGATCCTGTGATGGAACTTAGGAGAAATATTTGTATCTTGGAAGCTCTGGCCAAATTATGTTATGAATACATGTCATGGCTAAGAGAATGTGGCAGCATTCAGTATTCATTGTGTATCTTCCATAGGTGTGTAATGTGTGGATACTGCTTTTGTGCAGATAGTTTCCACTCAGGGAAAAAAAACCAAACAAGCAAACAACAAAAACAACTTACTTGCCATTATTCTGTGTGCGTGTGTGGGTTTAAAGAACAGCTTAACATTTAAAAATACCAGCTTGGGAACAGCTCCAGGAGCTGCACCTCTATTCAAAACAAAGCTTTGTCCATTCTGAAATGTCTCCTCTAAAATGAAGTAGTAATAATTCACATTTGTTTGGAACTGCTTTGTGAGAAATATTTTTTTACTCCATAAAAATATTTCAATCGAAGCCTTCCCTATGCTAAATTCCTTGCAAAGAAAGAAATTGAACTTAAGTGTCAGTTCTTTCACTCTATGGTCAATATTTCATTTTACATGAAATCTCATCAGTTTGAGGTCTTTGAAGAGGCTTTACATTTAGGGTAAAGGTTTTCATTCAAGATTAGACAGCTCTGAAATGGGTCTAGCACTTCCCATCAGGTATCACTTCAATTTAGTAGAAAACTCTCACCATCGGCCAGCTTTATGAACCACCCTTTGGATTACCCTGAACTCTTGAGACCTTGCTTTCTTTGGATCCAAAGCAAAACACCGTAGGGAGACTTTTCAATTTGAGAGCTCAAATTGGCAGTTCTAATTTTGGGCCCATCTCACAGTCGCATTGGGGTAGATTGGCTTTCTCCAATGAATGGTTGGGATGGAAAGTACTGCATGTCTTAGCTTTTGCTGGCTTCTGGTTGTCAGACCAGCTTTGGCTGACAGCTCTTCCAGTTATGTGCTGAAGCTTTGTTTACAGCCTACTTGCCTCAAGAGCTTCAGAAGGATTCAGCATGTGGCTGGAAGATGAAGCTCCTTGCTCCATGCTTCAGGAAGGTAACCCTGAAGAGCTCTGGCCAGGCTAGTGATACTGCAATGTGTCCACATGGCAAAAGGAGGAATTGCGCCTCTTTCTCCTCTCATGCATTACTTCCCATCCAAAAGCTGGAGCTAATGGGTTTGTTGAGCACAGTTTCATGGATTCTGGTAACTGCAGAAAAAGCCAGATCCTCTCTGTTTCTCCAAGTATAAAGGGGTTCTGAATATGCGCAAGACAAGAAACTGTTCTGTTTTGATGTTCCCTGGAGGATATTCTGCTGCTGACAGCGCTCTGCAAATGTCAGCAGGGAAACTGCTTCCTTCTCTTTCCCTCTGCTGCTTTGAAGGAGTCAGATTTTTTTTAAAAAAATTATTATTTTTTTTTCCTAACTGTTTGGCAAGTGGACTTGACTGCTCTGAAAACATGCTGTAGAGGCTCCAGCTCCTGCTGAGAAGCTGGTTTCTGCAAGAGGGACTTGCTCACCCTGGCCTCTCCTCACAGCTTCCTAAATCAGCAGGAGTCCAAGTGCTTCACTCGCTTGTGATGGAATGATACAGTTTCCCATCTGTATCTGACGTCTGTGAAGGCTGCAGCTTTCTTTGTCCTGCATTGATGTACAGTCACTTTTTGAGAGGTCATTGCCAGCTTAGATGCCTGAAGAGTATTCAGTTTTCTGGATGTGACAGCAAGAAAGCTGTGTTTTGTTAGCCTTGGTGTGAGCTACCCTTGGTGCTCATGTTGGGTGCCCTGAGAGGTGGTGGTGGAAACCTACGTGAACATGGACCAGTAACAGCTGCCCATACTGGGCTATGTAAAAGCCACTAGCTTGTGATAGTGGAGTCTGGCATGACATAAATTGTAGAATCGTAGAATGGCATGGATTGGAAGGGACCTTAAAGCCCATCTAGGTCCAACCCTCTGCCACAGACAGGATTGCCACCTACCAGCTCAGGCTGCCCAGGGCCCCATCCAACTTGGCCTTGAGCACCTCAAGGGATGGGGCATCCACAGCTTCTCTGGGCAGTCTGTGCCAGGGCTGCCAGTGCCTCACCGTGAAGTATTTCTGTCTAATATCTAGCCTAAAGGTGCTGGGTGTTCAGTACTCTTTCTCCAGGTGAAATCAAAGTGATAGGACTTATAAATCCTGGCTGTCGTGCTATATAATATCTTTCCTCTGATGCCCTGTTGGGGAGCACTGTTCTGTTCTACCCTTCAACTCCAGGTCCATCTTGTAAAAAGTGGATGGGAAGCAAGTTTCTCAGTGCATATAACCTTCCCGGGGCTGCAACCTGGAAAGATCACACTGAATGGTAGAGCTGGCATCCTGAAGGACCTGGACAAGCTGGGGAAATGGGTTGACAGGAACTTCCTGAGATTAAAGGACAGCTGGATTAGAAATCTCAAAGTCCCTTCTAGCCTAGATCACCCTGTGATTCATCCTCTGCTGCAAAACTCCAGGCTGTAAACCACACTACAGGACCTGTATCTGGGTTCTGCTGCTGAACATTTGCTTTAAACACTTGCTAATTACTCTATCACTGCAAATGGTTGTTTGACCTCTCACGCCCCTCATGTCCATGGCCTTGAGACTTCTAGCTACAGCTCCTCAGGGCATTATGCTGCAGTGAGTTTATTGCTCCTTCCAGTGTTTAACTTCAGCAGGAACACTCCCTTTAGTCTGCTAGGGAGGTGGCTGTTTCTAACAAGAGTTAAGAGCACGGTTTTTGGCAGAGAGCAATTAATTCTTCCTGTCTTTCCCTCAAGTACCTCTCCCTGCTTTCTGATTATTCAGCAACCTTTATGCTGGTGTGCAGAGTTTGGCTGAGCTGTGCTTTTGCTGGGTGTCTTGCATACATGTGTTTTTGAGGTTTTGGTTTAACAGTGCCTTGTCAGAGATGGGATCGTGTGAATCTCATCCCTCCGGATGCATTCTGGAGCTCTTCAAAGCCCAGAGGTGCTTGCTGGCTGCTGCCATTTGTTCTGTTTTGCTGGTGCTGCTCTGAATGTTTTTATTCCTGACCGCAGTGGACTCCAGCAGACCCGGTGCAGCAGAGAAGGCAGCAGGCTGCACTGTCAGCTCTTCAAGGCCTTCCTCAAAGAGGCTGCAGCTTGAATTTGACAGATTTCTAGTCCCAGAGCAGCAGAGCTGGATTCCTCCACTCTGGGCTGAGGATGTGCAGAAAGGGGTTGTTTGTGACAAAAGCAGACACAAAGGGACAGATAGCAACTGCAGTTCCTGCTGCCAGGTACCTTGTTGAAATCCAGGGTCCCGCAGCCTCCCCAGGGGATGGCTTGCAGTGACACTGTTGTCACCTGCCTCATCACAGCAGATGATTTTCAGTGCGGTGTTGCAGGCTCTGTGCAAGATGTGTGGAGTGTTCAGGCTGCCACACCTGATGTGGCTGTGTTGTTCATGGAAACCGTAAGAGGGGGAGAAAAATAAAAAAAGATACATCCCTCTGCCCTTAGTTTTATGTGCTTCAGTTTGACTTCATCCCTCTGTTCCCTGGAAAGCCCTCTGGAAGGGACATCAGGTAACCAGCTTTGATCCTCACCTGCCACTTGTGCTCTCCAGGGTGACAAAGAGAGGCTGTTAGCTCCCATCCACTCCATCTAATGCCCGGATGGATGCTCAGCCAAAATGGCTCTTGTCATTCCTTCTTCCTCTTTCTGTCCCTTTCCCTTTTCACTGGGATAATGACTTCTCAGGGAGCCCTTGAAGTGCCTCTTGCATCTGCCTTTGAATGCCTCTTGCCTGCTGACCCTTCTTATGGGAAGTCGGCTTAAGTGCGATTCTCCTAATTAGTTTTGCTTTAATTTAATCTTTTGAAATAATTTTATCAAAAAGAGGAAACCTTTTACTTGCTTCTCATTTCATTGGCTTGTTTTAATGCACGGTGTCTGGGTTTATTTCTCTATTTTTCTTGTCTCTAGATAGGACATCATTTGCATATTTGATTAAGCTCCATATGTTATCAGGGAGCCAGTTGAAAGAACAGCAAGTCCCTGATAAGGCACTGTGCATCCATCTCTTCCTTTCATAGTCCTTCACTCTATCCCCCCTCACCAGCCTGCAGCTAGGTCTGTGCCCAGAATCACCTCTACAATCTGTCTCATCTTCATCTTCTTTCTTTGGCCACAAAGAATCATAGAATGACTTGGGTTGGAGGGCATCTTATTCAAGGTCAGGCTGAACCAGGCTCTCAGGAACCTGACTGAGCTGTAGATGTCCCTGTTCCGTGCAGGGGAGTTGGACTTAGATGATCTTTCAGGGTCCCCTCCAATTCAAATGGCTCTATGATTGTAGAGTTGCAGCCCCAAAACATGAAGATCTCAGGTTCATCTCTGGACAGGTATTGATGTAGATATCAACACTGGTCAGCTCCCATCTTTAGGAAGGAAGCAGATCTGTGCAGAATGTGGAAACTGAGTGCTGGTGAAGATGCTAGGTATGACAGAAAGGTCCAGGTTCAGTTCCCTGTGCACTCCAAACCAATCTGCCTGCTTGCTCATAGCAGAATCCTGTTGTGTCTGCGAGGTATGTATTGCATGAAAGATGTTTATTTTCACTCTTCACTTTTTATGTTGTCCAGGCCTTTGTTGAGAATTTAAACTGGACTCTGTTGCGCTGGTCTGCTGTACAGTTAGCTCATCTACCAACTGCTGTGCAGACAACAGCAGGATCAGAGTGACTAGGAACAGAATAGTCATTGATGGAGATCCATGCTTTTTCCCTGAAATCTCGCGTATTTAAGGCTGCATATAAATACATAATGTGTGTGTACACATAAAGGATGTTGTTTTGGGGCTTTGTTCTCTGGCTACTGCTCTGTGAAAACAATTTGTTTTGTGCAGTTTTTCCCCAACCCACCTCAAAGAATCCTTTTCTTTAAAATAAGTTGTGGATGCCCTCAAGGAAACTTAAGGAAATGCTTAGTTTAACAGTAACTCTCCTTTCCACTGGTGATGCTTAAACTGGGGGAGGCTCTGCTCAGCCTCTGACCCATAGCAGGCCATTTCTGAGGGTGAACAGTGGGCAGATTCCCACTTGCTCTGCTTATGCATCATGTGGTCCCTGTTTTCAAAGAAATTCATAGAATCATAGAATAGTTTGTGTTGAAAGAAACCTTAAAGATCACCCAATTCCAAACTCCTGCCATGGGCAAGGACACTTCCCTCTGGATCAGTTTGCCAAAAGCCAAGTCCAACTTAACATTGAACCAGTTACGGGGATGGAACATGCACAACTTGTCTGGGCAATGAGTTCCAGTGCCAGTTAGCCTCTTATAGTCTCCAAAATCCAGGAAATGCTTGAACTGACTTCTAGTAAAGTCAGGTTGGATTTATAACAGCAAATAAAAGTGGTATAACTAGCCATATTAGTGGAGCTGGAGAAGGTACCATGGCTTGCATAAGGTAGCCCTTGGCTATTTGAAAAAAGCATTTCGCTCAGCTGACACCTTGGGAGTAGGAACGAGGTTTGATTTATGAGCCAGTTCTTAATTAAAAGGCAAAAAGGAGCGTGTCTTCCTTTGTTTGAATGAATGACTTTCAGTTTGAGCTGATTTGAAGACCTCTCCCTGCATACATGCAGGCTCTGCAGCGCAAGGCAGCCTGTCAGCATCACTGTGGTGTTTGTACACCTCCATTAAGGAGCTTTGTGCTGTCTGTATGTCCACTACTTGTGAACACTTCTGCCTAATTCAGTCTTGCTCTACCTTGATGTGTGGTTACTGGTGTAGACCATTAGCTTGCTTCTTTCAAAGGGACACTGTCAAATACAGTTAAGGAAAAGTCTCTCCAAAATTGTATCCAGTCTTGTGGTGTTTGTGAAGTCAGTGAGGAGGAAAGTGGAGATCAAATCTCCCTGTTCCTTTACAGCTTTACAGGGTCTCTTCCCCCTAGTGCTTCCTTTAGTTTGGTACAATGACTTTGGCTTGCTACACTGCATCATCTGTCATTTTGTCTGGGTGGCAGCCTGGCTTGAAAACGATGAAACTTTGCTGAATTTAGGACCCATGTGTATGAAGCCTGGAGGGGAGCATGAGAGAGTTGTGCTGGATTTTGTAGACCCCAACCCATACGACATCTGTGGGAGTGAAGACGTGTGTTACTATGCAGGATTCAGGGATCTGTTCCTGCTTGGTCTGGCACTTGTCATTTCTATTTTTTTTTTCTGCTAAAACCCTGTCAGTAGCCTTTCACCTCTCCTAAATGAAACCACACGGAAGAGCTTCAGGTCCTTGGCCTTTCCTGAAATTAAAAAAGCTCACTGCTGGGTGAGGGGTAGAAGTATGGGTTGAGGACTGGTCCACGACTATTAATCAAAGCTGTGGCTCTAGCAAAGTCCCTCTGGGATGCTATGTCCAGGGTGAAAAGAAAACATCTTGCTGTAGCTGTGACAGCAGCAGTTAACACTGTAGATTTCACTATATTCTGATAGTGTTAACTCTGGGTTAATGCCTTTTTCATGAACCTGCCTCTGTCATCACTTGGCTTTCTGTGTACTGGCCAGTGTTACACCAGCTTTGACCCCTAGAAAGATCATTTGTTTCTTAAATTAAAAGGGATTGAGTTGGATGAGGATTTCAGTGTGAGACTTTGAAAGGAAATAGATGTGCTGGCTGTGTTGGTATTTGCACTTGACTAAACAGCAGAACTGTGTTAATGGAGAGATCCCATCTATGGGACACATCTCACAGAATATAGCTCCTGATAAAAGCTTCTTATCTATCAGCAGCATTGTGTCAAGCATGCACCATCACCTCCAAACTGGGATCCTCCTTGGTGTGGTGAGCATGGAATTAGGTTGGAAATGAGTCGCACGCTCACAGGCTCCAATGGGAGATGAGTTGGAACCCTGGAAGAGCCAAGAGAAGCACAGTCGAGAGGAAAGTTGGGAACTACTGATCTGTGGGTTTCGGCTCTGGTTTCAATCCTTCATTCCAAGCATGCTCTGCTGATGATTCCTGACAGGGCTGGGACACTTTTGGTAACAAAACATGAACTCCCAAGGGACTTCAGTGGGTTTCAGAAGCTCTGTGGGTTCTTGCTTTTCGATCTGATGTACTATGTTGGCATAGGACCCCAGCACTGTTGTGTTTAAGGCATCCTGGAAATGCAAACCACTATTTCTACTCCAGTCATGCTGGTGTCTCACCCTGCTGGGATGCTTGTGGCTGTAGTCTGGAATCATCTTTCCCTTTGACTTCATGTAACTTTTTCTGAACTGATCCTGGCAATGTATTTCAGCGATGTCGGGCAAAAGGTTATCGCTGAAAGTGGTGGAGACCTCATCATATTAATTTTTCAGAATTGTTCCAATGAAATCTAATTAAACACAGCGACTGGAGCAGTGCGAATCTCCCTGTGTTTGCCTCATTTGTCATATGGTTGATTAAGGCTGGGTTATCGGGGGGAGTTTATTGCTTGTGATATCTGCTGGGATGGATGTGGTTTCACACACTATGGGCACTTTGATCTTGTTCCCCACTGCTTACAAGTTTCTGTTGGCTTCTCTTGGATTTCGTATGCAATCGATTTATCTCCTTGGGGTCTAAGGGAACATATTGATGATAGAGCTAACCTGAGCGATAAGGAGATGTCATGCATGCTAATGCATTTTCCCTGCCCTTTAGACAGCATCTCTGTGCTGGTAAGAGATAGGGCCTTGGCATCACATTAGGCTTGAGCATCTCTCTCTCCCTCTTACAATGAGGATAATTCATTTTATTGTTTCCTTACAGAACTGAGGAAAATGGGGAGGGGGAAAACTTCTAAACCAACAAACTCGCATCAGCACCAAATCAAATCTTACTCTATTTCCCTCCTCTTTTTTCCACAAAACAAACAAATCTGCACAACTCTGAAAGCTTTTATGGACTACAAAACAACTATTTACGGTTATTTGACCTCCCCACCCTCCCCTTTTTTTCTTTTTCCTGTTGAATTAGCTCTTGTTTTACAGATATTTCTGCCATAAGGTGGGAAAGTCAAAATCTTTTGACGCTTTCGAACCCCTTTTCCCCCTTGTGATGATGTAAATGAATTCCCCAAATCCCACCTATATGGGGAATTTTTAGCTAACTTACTGTTCATGGAAAGGAAGAAATTCCAAATTTGTAGCTCTCGTTTTTCTCACACGTCTACCTTAGCATGCAATATATGGAGAACTGCAAGATCTTATGAGACTGCTTGCATTTAAGCTCTTAGTCAAACTTCTTCTGCCAGGTTAGCATTTCTGCCTGCTTGAAAACTGGAGAATTGAACTCACCTGGGAGCCCCCGTAGTGAAATAAATTATCATAATATAGTGGGAAAAGAAAAGATTTTTAGAGTGGTGGAGTAGCGCAGGGCTACCCTGGTGAATTACATCTGTTCATTTAGAGCTGTAATATTACTTCAGCTTTGAGCTTCATGACTGAGAAATCTTTATTTTAAGGGGTGGGGGCTGCTTGGGCTGGGGGAAAGCAGGAAAACTTAACATCCAAATGTCAAAAGCCCCAAATGCCTCCTGACACTAATTGTTAGTAATTATAATAACAAGCTAAAACTGGGAGTTAATTGCTAATTCATGATTTTAAACCAGTCTTGTGTTTTTAGGTGAGTCTGATTTCTGCATCTTTGAATTTTGGGCACTGGCAGTGACATGAAGTGGTAGATGGGGGGAGGGGAGCAAGAGATGAGAAGACCTATCACAATTAGTATTCTGATGCTCTACTTTTAACAGATTGTTGGCATAATGCTTGTTTATGCAGATGCAGGACCATTCACCAATGTGTTATATGCATTACAGCGCTAACAAAGATTAATATTTAGCTTGAATCTGGGCAGCGTTAGGGGGGAATCTGAGCTGTATCCTTCCTGCAGAACTATAAGCAGTCCCAATATGTGATGAAGCAAGTCAACAAAGCCCAAATAACCACAAAATTATTAGAATATCATCTACCAGTTCTAAAGATACCAGTGTGGATGTTATTATTTTTTTTCCTCTGGATTTTCACCTTGATCATGCTCTGCTTGTCTCCTACTCTGTGATCTAGCCCAGGCTACCACTGTGCTGCTTTCTTCCCTGTTAAGGAAATCTCAGGCACTTTCCTCTCTAAAGCTTGCATTGACATTGCAATAGAAGTGCTGCCCTTCTCCTCACTGCGGAAGGCAAGCCCCACTAGGAAAGATGATATCATTGGCACTAAATATACACCAGCCATCAGGCCCCTGGTCAGTGCCAGAGATGCTCTGGCAGACTCTGATGTGACTTATTTTCTATGTTTTGTCGATTCTGTCTGTGGCAGGTGATTTCATTAACTGCTCTTTAATTGCTTGGGAAGAGCTCAGCCGTTATTTGTCTGTTTTCTCCCTCCTGACAGAAACCCACTACGGCTTCCTTGTAGTTTTCTCCTCCAGGATGCACAGATTGGTGTTGTCGCCCTGTTTCCAAACCTACTCGTGTATTATTATTGTTGTTGCTATTACTATTATATTATTATCACAGAACTGTTTGAGTTGGAACTGTGAAAGTAACAGTTGTGGAAGGAAGGGATGCCATTCAGAGGGACCTCAACAGACTTGAAAATCGGCCCAGGTGAACCTAAAGAGGTTCAACACAGCAAAGTGCAAGGTTTCGCACTTGGGCCAGAGAAATCCCAGGCATCTATACAAACTGGAAGGAGCTGCCCTTGTGAGCAGTCCTGCAGAGAAGGACCTGTTGGTCCTGATGGATGAAAAGCTTAACATGAGCCAGCAGTGTGCTCTTGCAGCTTGGAAAGCAAATGGTATCCTGGGCTCTATCAGAAGAGGGGTTGACACCTACAGCTAGATCAGGTTGCTCAGCTCCCCCATCCAACCTGATGTTGAATGTCTCCAGGGATGGGGAATCTACCATCTTTGTCACAAAAATACTTTTTCCTTATATCCAGTCTAAATTTCCCCTTTTCTAGTTTGAGACCTCTTCCCCATGTCTTACCATGACAGACCCCAGAGTATAATAATAATGATTATTATATTTATCAGCTGAGTAGGATGGGGCTGCAAATTCACGAATTTGAGCTCAATTCTTACAAAGTTCAATTCCAGGATTTTAGCTCAGACCCACCACTTATGACAAGGTTTGTGTTGCAGTAGGACATGGAGTCTCTTGGTGCTGCTCGATGTGCCACCAGCTGTCTAGGTAACTGTAGACTCATGTGTCCGATCTTCCTGTTTGTCCTGTAGTTATTAAAGTGGAGAGAGAGATGGAAAGAGGTGCTTTGGAAAAGGACTCATTTCCTCAAACCCACTCTGAAATGGGGATGAGGAGTCCTCCAGACTTGCCCAGTATGTGTTCGGTAAGCTACTCAGTGCATGTTTGTGAATTTTCCTCACGTTTCCTGCCTCTTGAAGGGCATTTGATCCCACTTCCTCAGCTTTCTTGACATCTGGTCCCTTTCCTCCAATAGCCGCGTTGTGTGATTCCTTTGACTTAGTCTTCTAGAAAATTTTGTGTTTCCTTTCTCCATCACATTCGTTCCTTTCCAAAAAGGAGCTTTGTTCAAGCCTCCACAGTTTCATTACTCCTGGCTGGCTCTTTGGCCTTGCTCATCTTGGATTTCCATCTGTGGTTTGATCTGAGCATTAGACTGAAGTGCAGGAAACATAAATGTTGACAGTACTTCCTGTGGATGGAGATATCTACTGTTTTTTTCTGTCTGGGAAGCAAAAAACCTCCAGTTTTTGTAGGATATGATTGATCTCATCTTAGAATCATGGGATGGCTTGGATTGGAAGAGACTTCAGAGTTCATCTAGTTCCAACCTTCCTGACTTGGTCTGGTTGCCAGCCACTAAATCAAAGACCAAATCAGCCTGCCCAGAGCCATATCCAACCTGGCTTTGGTCAACTCCGGGGATGGGGCATTTCTTTTGGTTCTTTGCAGCATCCTGTATTTTCTTCATTTTTATGTGAGTGAATTATCCAACCACTTCTGCAAAATTCATGTGTACTTACCTGGCTGGGCAGTGGGCCATGCAAGTGAAGGTGACAGAGAGTGTATAGAAGATAGATTGAGTGTGGACACCATGCTGCCATGTCAGCTCATGTGGTTTGGAGCCAAGAACAAGCCTGGCATGTGCGTATCCCTGAAAGATCGAGTCTTTCATGCTTTTACAAATACCCCTGAAAATACTAAAAGCTTAGGAAAACAAACAAGCAGTGCTCCCTCATGCCTAAACAACAGCAACAAAACCCCTCAAGGTCCTTTGAAAAGGGAAAGGGAGCCTGCAGGATTTATGGCATCTGCAGTGACCGGGGGCTCTGTCAGCAACTGCAGTTATGAGTGGATGAGCAGCTCAGTCTCTCATTGGGATCGCACATCTGACAGCCACAGTGATCCCGGGGCTGGCTCTGGTGTTTTCCTGGAGGATTCTGCCATTGCATGTAGGCTGGGCTTTGTGTCATATCATCATATCACTGTGCAAGCAGCACTCAGGGTGACAGGGCACAATTCGGCAGTAAAATTCTTGAGTGCTCATCATGCTTCCAGGTGACTTGGAGAATCAAGTTAGTAGCATGGGACAGATTAAAGAAGAAAGGAAGTATTTAAGTACGCAGAGGTGCAATCAAGATATTTTCAAAAGTGCTTAGGTGTATGATTCCCAGTTGCAGGAGGTCCTTATATCCAGGAACTTGCAATCAGAACAGTAACTGGAGCAGGGAGATGTCAGAAAGGAAAGCGTGGAAAGGAGTGGCTTCCTTAGAGGGATCTGAGAACAGGTGGTTGATCAGAAAGGGCAGCTCAAATTGGGGACAGTATGAAGGAGGGTGCAAAGGGTAGTCAGGAAAGACTTAGTATGACGTAATGGCAGAGCAAGAAACCCTTGATCTATTCCTGGCTCTGTTGCTGATTGTTGCATGACCTCAGGCAAAACATTTCACTCTGCATGCCTCCTGCACTCTTCCCTGTGTAGCCTGTGAGTTCTTCAGGGAATGGATTGTCACTGGCAATGAGCACATCCCGCACTTTGGCACTTTGAGTTCATCTCAAGGCTTCATGGGCAACTGAACCATCAGTTCCAAGCTGGATGTTTGGACCCCCACCACAGAAAGGGAGCGCAATGGTCTTTCAAGGTCCCTTCTGACCTAAGCCCTTCTATGATTCTGTGCTGTTGGGGTTCAGCTGCTGTCACGTGCAAAATTTCCACTTGTAAAACTTCACCACCAGTGCAAGCGCTGGCTGCTTCCATGTGATGTTTGAGTTTGGAAGGGACTCTTAAAGGTCATCTGTTCCAATTCCCCTGTACTCAACAGGAACACCTACAGCTAAAGCAGGTTGCTCTGAGCTC